CTTTTCTGCAATTAGTGTCCCTGATGAATTGAATGTTGATTTCGTTTTTTGAGTTATCCATCGTTCTAATCGTTGGACAGAGAAATTGGTTTTCATCGATGAAGAAAAGCGTGATTTCAATGGCGTTGGCAGTTGGATTGGTCACGGGATTTCCTGATTTGGGATATCTGGGAGAGGCCAATGCAGCTAACATTGCTCCATCACTACCAGATGTATCGGTTTTGATTTCAGGGCCACCGATCAAAGATCCCGGGGCATTGTTGAGATACGCATTGCCTATCAACAACAAAGCTATCAGGGAAGTTCAGAAGCCGCTGGAGGATATTACCGAAAGTCTGAAGATTGCTGGTGTGAAAGCCCTTGATTCTGTTGAGAGGGTGAGGAGAAACCGTAGTTCGTTTCGTGATAGTATCTTCTTTTACGTCATTCACCTTAAGGCTGACTTTGGTAAGCATATAAGCTAGCTTATAGTGTTGGTAAGTATATAAGCTAGCTTATAGTGTATTTGATTAGCGTCAATAAACTTTGTTTGGTAGTATGAGTTTTTTTTAAAAAGCTAGAGCTTATCTCATAAATTTCTTTGAGTAGCTTTTCAAATAAGCTCATTTAACTTTTTATTTCAACTAACTTATGAGTTAATTTTAAGAAACATTTTTGATCATGTAAGCTAGCTTTTCAACCATAAATCATAAGCTATCAGCTGTAAGCTTGAAATTCACTTATAAACTATAAGCTAGCTTATTAGCTAGGTTTACCAAATATAGCCTAAAAAGCGTTTTGATTTATGAATATGTGTGTTGATGTTTGATTCTCTTTGTTGTTGCCTGTGCTTGAGTTGTAGAATGTTAGGCAGGCTTCGAGGGCTCTCCAGCAAGGCAAGACTTTGATTGTTGGAGGCCTTGCAAAGTCAAAGGCTGATGATGGGATTGCATTGCTTGACAAATTGGAATCGGGATTGGATGAGCTTCAAAAGATTGTGGAGGATAGAAATCGTGATGCGGTTTTATCCAAGCAGAAGGAATTACTTAACTATGTTGGAGGGTGAGTATGGAAATTGATGATTTCTTGTAACTGAGAAAAGGTGTTGAATACTAGAGTTGGTAAGGTTATATTTTCACATGGTATGCTTTTGGGGTTACTGACTTTTTTCGTTTAAGCTGCGAATCAGAGTAGATCTTCGAAGCAAGTACTTTCTTTTATATTGTCTGTAAATATTACCGTGCCTCATTAATGATGAAGATACTATCCTTGTTGATGTGATAACTTTTCTTTAAGCCTAGGAAATGGGACAAACGAACGAAGAAAAAAAAAAAGTCTTCCAAAAATTGCTTTGTCTCATTTAAGCCGTTGTCATTGACTGCAGCTGAGATCTTCCTGGGGCATTGGGTTTCTGCAGTGTTGAAGAGGACATGGTCGATGGCTTTCCGCATGAAGTGCCTGAAGAATACAAAAACATGCCATTGCTAAAGGGGAGAGCAACTGTGGATATGAAAGTCAAGGTCAAGGACAATCCTAACCTGAATGATTGTGTATTTCGTATAGTTTTGGACGGTTATAATGCTCCTGTGACTGCTGGGAATTTTGTGGATTTGGTCGAAAGGCACTTCTATGATGGCATGGAGATACAAAGAGGTGCATTGGTTGAAGAGAGTTGTTTTATATCTAAGAATACCATTCCAACAGAGTTTTCTTATTGATTTTTTTACTTCAACAACGCTTATAGATTCGTTTAATGGGGTTTTTTTCTTTTTCTTTTTTCAGCTGACGGCTTTGTGGTACAAACGGGAGATCCCGAAGGACCTGCTGAGGGCTTTATTGATCCTAGCACAGAAAAAACCCGTACAATCCCATTGGAAATTATGGTCAATGGAGAAAAGGCACCTTTCTATGGGGAAACTCTGGAAGTAAGTCAGTAACCAACCATTATAAATCACCTACAGAGACAAGCTTTTGTGTGAATCCTTTCATTCCATTTCCTTAAACGCTCTAAGCAATCTCCCAAAAATAGTAAATGAATGGCTTAAAACCTGTGGTTTGCCAATCTATTTCATCCGGCATATTATATTGGAAATTCGAAGTTTTTCGCTCCCAATATAAACTTATGTTCTTCCAGGAGCTTGGTCTGTACAAGGCTCAAACAAGGCTTCCATTTAATGCATTTGGAACCATGGCCATGGCTCGAGAGGTGAAGATTCTGAACTTGGTGTACTGATACTACGAATCAACTTGATCTTGTATCACAAATATATTGGTATTTGATTTTTTTTTTATATTAACCAGGGTTAATCTTGAAAAAGCTAGTATGGTTAGTATTTGGTGGGATTTTAAGTTTGCATTAAAATAATATTTAAAATAAAATGATTAAAATTGATTTGATGTAAAAGTAGGAGATACGTGATTGGAAGAGATGGTAGTTAAAATTATGTAAGTGGATGAATAGTGAATTAAAGTTGATGTGTATGGATGATTGATTGATATTATTTAATTATATTGATAATATTGAAGATAATGAAGTCCAGTTGATATTGAGTTAAATTTTGAGGTGAGATTGGATTTTTTTGGGGTTATTTTGTAAACAAACAAACCTTATGTAATAATATACTCGTTTATAATCTCAGGAGTTCGAGAACAATTCTGCCTCAAGCCAAGTGTTTTGGCTATTGAAAGAAAGTGAACTCACTCCTAGCAATGCCAACATACTGGACGGCCGCTATGCAGTATTCGGTTACGTGACAGAAAATGAAGATTTCTTGGCAGACCTAAAAGTGGGAGATGTTATAGAGTCTATCCAAGTTGTAGCAGGGTTGGATAATCTTGTTAATCCAAGCTACAAAATTGCTGGTTAGATACCTAGGGTTTAGGCCCCCTGGTTTAAGGAAGAGAGATTTCAAATTCTTTGTATTACATTATGTTGTGTTTTGTATCATTAATAAAAAAGATCATTGAGAGCTGGAATTTAGTAGAGATTTCAAATTCTTACACATTTTTTCTAAGTCCTTACTTCTTGCATACTTTGCCAAACTTGTTTGTTTGTTTGTTTCTAAAGAAGTTTTTGCACTTCACTTCATTTCACTCCAGTTGTTTTTATCGACCATTCATGGCCGTAAAACACTTTTTCAAAAAGAATACCGTACGATATCATCATATTGCTAAAACTCAAAAGGTAAGTAATGTAACGGCTGTGTTCGGTAAAACTAGCTAATAAAGCTAGCTAATAATTGATAAACTAGCTTATAGGTAATATTCGAGTGTAGCCTATTATTGCTTATGATTTATAACTGAAAAATTAGCTTATATAATAAGTGTTTAGCAAAATTAGACAATAGCCGAAATAAAAATTTCAACGAGCTTACTTGAAATGCTACTCAAAGAAATATAAGCTCGAGCTTTTTTAAAAGTTCTTCCTACCAATCGAAATTTAATTGAATATAAAAATCTTATAAGCTAGCTTATTTGATTAGCAGATAATAGCCAACAACTTCAAAGCCTGGGGAATGCTTTGATTAGATACATATATATTGAGCTCAAAAACCTCTCAACTTCAGACTAGTTAAATACCGACTTCTACTTTCAACACCGTATCTTTTAAGAAATCGACTGGTCAGCTTTGGGTCAATGTGAACTCTACTTCTCATGGCCCTCGATGCCTGTGGAAGCTGAAACATCCTCGATGCTTGTCAGGAGTCACCATACCTCCTCCTTTAGTTGTGTCAATGGCTTCTAACATGGAAACAACATCTTCCATGTTGGGCCTCCTCTCAGAAATGGGGTCCCAACATCGTTTCATTACATT